GGACGGTCAGCAAACCGCCTCAACTCCTTTCTCTTCTCCCATTGATTGGTTTATGCAACAAATGCCCTGATTGGTCCATTCTGCCTCCAACCGCTTTAAGCAGCCCCTTATAGCTCTATAAATAGCCCTTGCCAGTTTCCATTTCCCTCATTCAGTCCAATTCAGTTTCAGTTCAGAACTTCAGTCAGTGAGTAAGAGAAAGTCAGAAACAGTGAAGCGCAGCCTTGCTGAACCACTTCCAGCCAGCTTTATAACCTACTTTCCAGTTGAGTCTTTTCTTTCTTCTAAATTTCTATTATTCCTTTCTATTTGGGTTGAACCTCTCCCACTTTTGTGCCCTAATTGGTATTAATAGTGGTTGTGTTTCAACTATTCATCGGGGAAGGATTGTCTATATTTTGTTTAAGTATTGTAATGGAACTATCTTGCACCTCTTGCTCCTCTATAGCAATGGGGCATTGGTAGTCTACTTCTACCCTTCGGTGAAGGGTGAACATATGTAAGATATTGTTTAAGTTATGGAAATGCCGATGTTATAACTATGCTTTTATGTTATATATACCTCCCATATTATTAGATGGTTACATTTATAAGATGCTCATGGTTATGAACACCGAGTTGTACCTAATGCTATATACCATATTATCTATTAGTTATGTACTTCATGCATGATACAGTGATGTACGTGATTGGGCTTTACGTAATAGTTGATTGATTGGTTATAGATAAGTTAAGTCTTGGCATAGTCAATGCTTTTGATTCAATGTGTAAACCAGAATCTCGTCATCAGTGAATCATCAACCTGTCGGTTGAATAACTATAGTATTCCTTCTGAATGGCTTGCCTTCTGGTTTACTATAGTTGTTTAACTATTGCATGATACAAATATGCCAATTGAGTAATTCAAGTATTCCTCCTGAATGGCTTGCCTTCTGTTTACTTGGGTTATTTGATTGTTGCATAGAAATATACCTGCCAGCTAACCTAATTAGTTTCTGGATAAGGGATTTAACATATATCATACCTACCGGTTGACTTTTCAGTAAAATGGGGGTTAATTGCTATAAAGTGGCATTTCTAATACTTAGTCAATATAATGCATATGGAATCCCCGACCTGAAGGATATCTTTTAATTCTCGCATTTCATATCTTTTAATTATCGTATTTTCACAGTTTTAATGAAGGTTGTTTGAATTGTTCTAAGCCTGTACCACAAGTTCTTTTATTTCATTTTATATCTATAACAACTTCACCGTTTCTATTTTGATTTCCAATATTAGCTCCTTGTGGATTCAACCTTGGACTTAAACTGAGTATTATATTACAATTTGACCACTTATACTTGGTTGTATACCACTATTCAGGTTGAATGTGAGTCAAGTAGATTAGCCTAATTGCAAAGAGGTTCCCTTAATTTTTTTAAAATTTCACTGACCTTCCCCGTGACGTCTCTAAAACTGGGGGTCCTTTATCAACTTTTTGATCACTTATCAATCTGCAGAAGTTCCTGTGAATGTCGCATAACTCGACACTACGTCATAACATCCCCTTCACTGGGATCGTAACCAACACAGAGTTTAGGTAGAGTCTCCCTTGTGTTGGGCACTCTTAAACATATAACATATATACATTTCAATCACTTGACCATTCTAAGGTCTAATATACATCAATTTGTTCTTAATATTACTTCATTTACATCCTTTGAACAAAATGGCTCAAAGCCCGCAGGTTTGACAAAGTTATTTTGAATTTTTGAAAATTTTGAAGAAACTACCGGTACCTCGTGTACTTGCTACAACTAGTTAAGTCCTCTGTCAGCGAGCTACCTGTAGCTATGCCCATAGCCCACGAGCTACCAATAACTGCCAATTGTCTACCAGTAGCTAATCAACGTGCTACAGCTAGTAGGAATCACTTTTCTCCCAATTCAATTATTTTTCAATTTTAACTCACCCAATCTCATGCAACATTTACCCAAACTCATATAAAATCTAATTTTACAGAAAATATTGTTCATATGAGTTTATTATACAATCTTTTATACGACATTACAAGTCCAAAATCAATTACACAATTATTTTACAAAAATGTAATTTAAAGCCACAACTTGTCTTTCTTCATCAACAAGGACCCATGTGAGGGCTGTCCACCAGCGCTTGTCCCGCACCTGAAATTTTATTCTCATAAAGGGTGAGTCACGCTCAATAGGATATCTTCTAAAGAGGCTACTGCCCAACCTAAATGCATATGAAATGTTCACATGTAATTCAACAATTAACAAGCATTCATCCAAGAACATATAACTTCAAGAAATGAATGTCACAATGATATACTATGTTATGAGGTGAGACTCACACATGCAACACAACCTAAGCCCTCCACCGACTCCCACAACACATGCAATACTGTGCTTATGCATCTGGGCATTCTACGTCCCTGTCATTGATGTTACACATCCAATAACCATTTATAAATTTCGGGTCTTTCTTGGGATGGATATTTATGGACTTCTACCAATGGGCACCCAACCACACGGCCTTTATGGGCTTCCACCAACGGCATAAGCCGACACACTTTATGGACTCAATACCAACAGAGTACGCATTCAAATCACCGGGTCATGCACTCGTGGGATAATCTAACCCTTTTTGCTAACCCTGACTCTATTTTCAATGGAACTTGCGTGACTCAGTCGATCTTTGGCCCAACTTTTTCAAGCCCACGCGTCAACCCACCAAGGATGGTGATTGATCAAGACCATGCACACACACCCATACTCATATCAAATGCCTACGAATGTAATACTTTACGTGTATATGCAAATGTAATGAATCATTGCATTTCATATCATTATACAACTAAGTTTTCAATTATAATTAAAATGTCATTTTCAACAAACATGTCATAAGCACAATATGAACATTTCCAAATCCTTAATGTAACTTGTATCATAAATCATATAATTACATTTCAATTATCATCACAAGCATGTTATATCAATTTCATTCGAATAACATACTTAATCAATTTTATGCATTTTATCAAACACCCAAAAAACACAAAATCATGCTCAATTTATCACATTCTCATGAAATCACCAAACAAGCAATTTGAACAATCCCCAATTCATGCTAGAATTGATTTTATACATTCTTATATCATTTCTCATACTCTACTTACACTATGAGTATATGTCAATAAGAGATTTCATCTCTAATTACACTACTCATTTCCTACGCAAACCCTATGTTGGAAATAAACTTAGCTAGGAGAAAAACCTTATCTCTTGAAGCGTAATACGAGTGGTAGAAACTCCTAAGAACCCAAATCAAGCCTTAAATCTTGATTTTCAAAAATCTCAATTTTGACGCTTCGGTAAGATTCGCGATTTTTTGTACATAGACGTAACTCATCCGATAGATCAACATTCGTTCTTGGTCCGAAGTGATTCGACGAAAGATTTACTCTAGATCGTAGAGAGAAGCTTGAAGAAAACTCATTTTTCTCTCTCTCCTCTTCCCTTCTCTTTTCTGGAAAATCCACTAGCCAAAATGGGGTAAAAATATGATTTTTCCTCATTTTTATACCCTTTGGATATTTAACCCTCGTTGCACCACACGTTCGTCTTTCCTAATCCAATTTTATCTTGAATCATTTAAATCTCGTCATGTGTTATATTCAATGTATTTTATATGAACTAACTTTAAATTATTTTTTGTGTTTCTCCATTAAAATTTGATCATGTTTATTTTGGTCACGCGACGCCTGTTTGCACCGTAAAACGTAAAAAATTCGACTATTTCGGAATTCAATGAAAATTTGACTGGGTAACTAGATTTCGCAAGACGAATCCAATAGTAAAGTCTGTTTCATTTACCATGTTTGTGTTCCGGGGAGAAAGAGAGATTGTTGTGTTTGAGGTAACGTACACACGCACACACAGAGAATTGGAGAGTGAAAGAGAAACCCAAAAAAATTCAAGGGAGAAACGAACGCATCTAATGTGCCTACCCGAACATGTTTGCTCTGTGGACAGTTGTTTCATGCCTAACAGACTCCAATTGCTCCCATGGTTTTGTCTTCGCAGTCTGTTGAACTGAGGAAGAGATCAAGACAAAAAAAGTGAGAGAGAGAGAGAAATGAAGGGCTACTTGGGCATGGCTATGCGTGGGAGTTTACCCCAATTGAGAAAGGAAGTTTGCTTTGATTTGGACTAATTTAAACTAATTCTATTCAAGGGTTATTTGGGTATTCAATAAAAAAAAATTGCTGATGTAATCACTTCTTGAGTTTGTCTATAATGGGATTGACGTAGGGGTACCGGGTGAAACTGTTTTATAAAGTAGGAGGGGGGCTAACGATATTTTCAGATCATTGAGGGGATGTCTCCATAATTAGGCTAATCTAGACGGCATGTCATTGCAGTTTACACTACATTTAATTATTTGTACGGAAAAGTGGCCCGAACCTTTAATTTTGTCATAACTTACCCCGTGGAGGCTCGGTAATCGATTGGCCCTTTCCTAGTCTACCCCGAGGCTACTCCATAATTAAATGTTCTTTCCAGCCCCCAGCACAAGCTTATCGTTAAAAAATATATTGCTTTTAGAAATATATGTCAATTTACTTTAAGCCAACCACCAAAATTGAATTACATGTACATATACATGTGCGTTTGGGTAAACAGTTGTCTTTCTTCCCTTTTTTTCGGTCAAGTGTAAACAGTTTGTCAAATTGTTCAGAATGTGAGGTTTATCTACTTCCGAATCCATGCAGATAGAAATCTTCCGGGCACGACCTGATTCTAGATATCAATAATACATACATATGTTTGTTGAATGGCACCCAAACCCAAGTCCTATATGCGATAAAAGGTTAACTTACAAAATAATTTCATCTTCATTCTGTTACTTGTGTGCCACAACTGACTATGAAATGCAGCATTCTCCCCTCTGCATAGAGAGCAACATTAAAGCAATCATGACTGGTTGTTCCAGACTCAACGAAAAGTTGCACTTCGATTTCCGGATGCTGGAAAAGCCTGACGTCTTCTGCCCTGGAGAAAATCTCCACCCGCTTCATCTGTCAGGTTCCCACCTATGACTGAATTCTTTTTCGTATCCCCTATATCAAGCCTACTACCACCCTCATTACCCTCTACCCCCATATCTCCCCGTGAATCCGCCCCAAATCTGACCCGTGTCCTTGCTGCTTCATAGTCAAAAGGTTTCAACTGCAAAAGTCCCTCACACTCCTGGGAATTCTCAAGCTGGCTGGCCTTTCTTGTTTGATTTAGTGACTGCAAGCACTTCTGGAAGCTGGAGGACAAATCAGAGAGTAAAGTAGTCTCATCTGCGCCATCCAAATCCAAAGCAGAATCTGCAGCATCTACCCTATGCTGCAATTGATCGTTTGTTGCATGTATGTCATCGCTTATTGATTCCTCAACAATTGTATCACCTTCCAAGTGCATAACCTCTTCCAAATTAGAGCTGCCAGCTGGTACGGCAACAGGTTCTCCATCATGGGAGACTTCCAGCGGTTTAGCAGCTTTTTTTACAGCTGTTTGCATTGGTTCATCCCTGCCCAAAAATGAATGGAATGGCAGGTTTACCGTAGATTTTATCTGTTCCAGCTTGACCTCTTGTTTTTCCTATGAATTACACCTCAATAGTTTCAGCAAATATAGTCCGGTTGTATTAGATAATACCTACCATGTGGAACAAAAACAGATAAAACTAGCTTTATAATATCCGGTGGTCAATTATCTACATGGCTGAAGACACATTAAATTTTCATGTCTATAAAAGCTCCAGGTGGAGGGAAGGAGATTTTGCCAACTTGTAAACTCAAAGCTCGCATATAATTTGGTGAGCCAATTGCATGGTGTGTCTATGTGTTTTGCCTAGGCAAAATTCGGACGAAATCACCGTCTGTGTAGGTGTGTCTAAGTCATGACCAGAATCTATAATTGTCAAGTGCTGTGTGAAGACCATAACAACTCACAGATAGGTCGTGATTGAACTGGATTGCAAGATAAGGTTCTCTTGGATATTCATACAAGCATTGATGAGGGATTTCTTGTATTCATATCAAGCTAGGACTTGCATAAGTTATGGTCTGAGAAGATGACCTAGATACCACAGTCAAAAATCCTGGTTAATTGAAGGTTTTCATTAAAATGTAATTTGATGGGCTACATTTTCTTTTTTCAAACAACAACAAAGTTTTTATGTTAATATTTGGAACATGACAATCAGAAAACACTTGAGCCCAACAAGAATCAAAGCAGCAAGTTCTTTCCCACAAAATATACTTCTCAAATCTAAGTCCCAAAATTCTCGAATCACTCTCTAGGCATAAAACTAAAAAAATAGCCATCACTACAAACCTCCAAAATTAATCTTCGAACTCAAACCAGTTAATTAATAACACATTGTTCGAACTGAGCTTAGCTTCATTCAAATGGAGGTCTTTGGAGTTGCTCAATGTGAAATTCAGGAACATATTGTTTTATGGCCAGTTAATGTTCCTTCAAACAAACTGTTTTTAGGGTTCAAAACACAAGTTTGATGGATGTTTGATGCCTGTTCGAACAGGTGAGAGCAAATAGCTATGAGTTGGTTTGAACGGTGCTAAGTTGGATTCAGACGGCGTGAGTAGTTATTGCATCCATTACTTAGAAATTAATACATACCTATCTTGGCTTAGGTTTCTTGTAAACTCGAGAAAAAAAAAAATTATTTGAGAGATCAATCTAATCATAAAACAAAGGGCAAATACACTTGTGTTTGTTCTTTGATCTTTCTCGGCGAGAAGCCATTGAAGGTTTCCAAAGGTTTGGACTGCCGTACACTTGGGCATAAAAAATAAAAACAAGAATGAATCAAGGTCAGTTCGTGGTTGTACTCACCAAGCGTTAAGGAGTGAACTCCATATGACAATACTGATCATCCAAAGATTGAGTGAAGCTGGACGGAAAGTTACAAGAAAACAGTATGCCTCCGCAGAACAATTGAAGGGAGTCAAGTTAGATCAATAATGTATGTGTCTCTCCAACTCCATAAGTTCTATAGCGTCAAGTGAGCCCTGGACTAGGTCAACTGGAATTTTCCATTGTGGCTCTACATGTAATAGTTGATATGTCTCTGAAATTAATAGGTATTTTAGCAATATGTATTTATGGTTGGACTGCACGGTACTTGTGAACATTACCCTTGATTGCTGCTCCAATTAAACTGTATTCTAATTGCTTCATATACTTGTTAAGTTAATTAATGAATTGGTTAAGAATTTTAGTTGAAATTTGAATTTCGAATAACTTCTATTTTCCTTTTTCATCTCTAGGTCCCATGTAAGGTTTTTGGAGGTTTAACCAATGATCCATTCTATGTCCGAGAACATTCAACTTTCAAGTGGTATTACAGTAAAGTATGGTTAGTGTTTACATGTGTCTTTAAATAAATGGATTCCATACATGAGTGGGTTTTAATAACCCGATCACCATTGCTTGATGAGAACACTCTGCATATTGGAACCCAGGAAGCATGGATACTCTGGCGAGAGTTGACGTGACAGTGTCAAACACATGTCCAACATGGATACACGTGGGACACGGCCGGACATGTGTCCGACACTTCTACAAGTTTCCTAAACAGAAAAGCCAAAAAAAAAAAAAAATTGGATATGGTACCTAACCCATACGACCTCTTCTTCAGCAACGGATTTGAAAGCCACATATTTTAAAGCCACAGATCTAAACTTGTATAGTCAGGTATGTCTTTTAGAACTCTTCCACTTCTTCTTTCTTCCTCTGACTCCCTCTCTCTCTGCCGCCCCTCTCTGTCTCTCTCTCTCTCTCACACACAATTTTTTTAAAACATTATTCTTTTTTTTGGCATAATCTATTTATTAGTTGTCAAATACATTAGACCATTGTCCAATTTGGTATTAGCCCCCACAATTATAACATATTAACCCACTGCCTAATTTGATATTAGCCCATTGTCCAATTATAAGATATTAACCAATTGCTCAATGTTTATCAGGTCGCATTATTAATTTTTTTATTTATATAAAAATATATAATATTATTTTAATTAGTCGTATCATTGTCATAACCGTGTCTTATATTTTACAACTTTGTCGTATCCTATATCCGTATCCGTACTTCTTAGATTGGAACGCTTGCATGAGAACATTCATAAGGTCTATGGATTTAAATGTGTGGACACCGGATGGACAGGATCATCTGAGGCTGTAAAATATTATATGATTCTTAAGCCCAGTGCTAAGTGGAAAAAGGGTGATTTAGAGAGCCAAGGTTGGAATACGGGTGGTCTACATGCCATCCTTAATTTCGTGAATCCTGAAACGTTGGATATTTGCAATTTTCATTTATCTAATGGTATTTAGTTATGCTATCATGTTTTTTATGGTTATTAGTTACTTCACTTATGTTTGTGAATTTGGAGTGTGGCACGTATGCTTCTCTTGGTGATTTTCATACTTGTGATTATGTTATGTATTGTTTCTGTTGAGACTTCAATATTGCATTATTTTGTTGCTTAACATAATCACTTTAAGTAGAATTAATTTCTTGGTATGAATAATACTTATAATTCCTTGCAAGTATTTTAATTAGTTCTTCAAAGTTATTTTCAAATCAACAAAAATAATTGTTCGTTCATCGAAATATTTTTCAATTGACCGCACTGACATTAGAAATCAACCGAAATAATCAATATTGCACAAATATAATTTTTTGATAAATATGAGCAAATTCGGATCCCGAAAACTGCTTGACTGATTATTGCATTTCACTTGTTCAATATACTTGTTGAGTTTTGTTATTAAATTGGTCAAGAATTTAGATCACAAATCTGTCTATTCAACCCTCCTCAGGTCCGATGTATGATCTTTTGAGATCTGACCTACGGTCCATCCTAGTCATAACAAAATATTTGGGAAAATCCATCTTTCACACGGTCTCTGGCTATATCTTACCCAACCTGATGAGACTGTAATTGTGCGGGCCATAATCTTTTCAATGCAATGTAATGATGGAAATAAAGAGATTTGATGAGTGCCGAAAAACTCACTTTTTTATCAGGATCAAATTTTCTTTTTGAAGATGTATTTCCCAGCAGTGCCCCAAAAGCACGGCTTGGCTTCTTTAATACCTGAACAGTTGCACCAGTAACCTAAAGGAATAAATAGTTGTTTTCAGACAGTCCATTGGCAGAAGTAAGAAAACATACGCACGTCCTGAGAAACAAACAACTTACTGAGTGAGACACATTCATTTCAGTATGACTCTCTGTGATCTGACAGGATATGGTCAAGTTCTCTCTCGGAAGTTGGGCAACATAGCCACATGCTTCACCCCCATATTCACCAAAATGCTCAACAGAACCTTTCTGTTGGATTCTGCCAACTCCAGCAGCACTTCTCCCAAGTTCCAAAAAACTCTCTTTAACTTGTACTGAAGCTGGTGGGTCCTCAAGCAAGCTACCATTTGCTGCACTATCATTTCCAGTACTTTCTCGTATTGATATTTTCACTGTTGCAGGCTTTTCAGGAGGTTGCAATTCTTCAGGTTCATCAGAAGCCACTCTATTTTCTTCATACGCCTGCATACCATACAGGCTACCATCACTTAAACACACTATTACTTGCATTATCTTCCAGAAATTGTAAATATCAAAATGAATCTGACAAGAACTCCACAGAAAGTTAGAAACTAAGATAACAAATGGAGGCTAACCATTTTAAGAAGAAAAATTTAGACCTTTCCAGCTGCCATATGTACATGAGCAACAAGGTTTGTTCAGTAGCCAACTAGCTCAACAAGAAGACTGATAGCCACTTAGCTCACAAACTGACCTTTTCTGTATGATTTTCAATAGTACATAAAAAATCCCTATCGGATCATTTTTACAAAGTGAATGCCATAAATCATCCAAAAAGAAATCGAAAGTCAGCCCAAGTCAACCCTGGTACTAATAATCACCTCCTTAAATCTTATTCCCTACTTTGCGGGGAAAAAAATTATACACTCCTTAAACGCAATCCTTGAGGTCGTGCAAGTTCTACAGAAAATAACTTTCTCCTCTGCAGGTTATTTATACATTTTTGGATACAAAGTACTCTCACAAAGTTTGAATTCCTACACTCCTAGTAACTGGAAAAAAAAAAAAAAAAAGCACTTCACATATGATAAGAAGAAATAATTGTCTATTCTTTTATAAAACTCACAAACCATAAATTTTATTTACGATATTCTACATTTAAAAGAAAAAGTATTTATAGATCTTCCCCCTACCTCCATCTGAGCAGTTGAAAGGAAACTTCATTTTGATGAGCTTCCATCTTGTGGAAGGTGTATTAATTTTTATGACTTATTTTCCATTAATTGGGAAAAAATATTTTAAAGGAATATCTATAATTCAATGCAACCATCATCAATGGCACTCATGCAATGGTGCAGCATACCAAGTAGATATCAATGACGGAAAATAAACAGAGGTAGGACGGTCAACCCTAACTTTTATATGTGAGTCTTACTGTTTCCATGCGTCTTTCCTTTAGATGTTCAGCAGCAACTTCAAATGTAGTTGCATTTTGGATTGAATGCCTAATGATACTAACAACAGAATTAAGATTCCGCTCCACATACGGGTGCTTCGATTTCATCAACCGGCGCAACTGACTGGCAGTCACAGGCATCTGTTTACCTATTATCGTAATGGGAGGAAAAGAAAAAGAACAAGAGACAAAAAAAAAGTACATAAATAAGTTATTGCCTGGTATCTGGAAATACTAAGCCCAAATCCAAAGCTGCTATTAAATTTGCATCAAGTTCAAATACCAATTTCTAGAAGAGTTTTGTTAGGTAAAATATAGCCAGTACTCTCATCCTCTGCTCGGGCAACAACATCTCTCCATTCGCAAAGCCCCTGCAAACCATTCATGAGTAATAACCAAGCAAATTAGTAGACAAGGATGAGTGACCAAAATATAGTAACTAATTGCTAACTAGCTAAATGTGATAAACTATCGACACACTCCTAAATTTCATCCATTTAACAAATCGTTCTGTGAAAAGACATTTAGAGGATTGGTGGCATCTAAGAGTCCAGCGTGTCAAACAGGTATCTAGAATAGGAACATAGCATATTCTATGGGGATTCCCTCCCACAAGGAAATATCATTTCAGAAATATTAAAAAAAAATAATGCATATATCAGAATTAGCAACAACTCACTGCAACAATCGCAAGCTGCTGAGCATTAAGATCAACACCCTGCAACCTGAATCAAATCCCAAAAAAGAGCATCTGTGACGATTGTTTGCTGTCAATTGGAAAATAAACGAACAAGACCCAGACAGAAAATCTATAAATCATACAAAAGGATTTGATGATTCAAACAAGTAATGGACAGGAACACTGAGCAACATACCCATATATATACAAATAGGAATTCTCTT